CCTGCTGCCTTAGGAAGGAGAAAACAATGATAAGTTCTTCACTCACCCCAAAGATGCCAAAGCACTTGCTGCCTACCTCTTTGCACACAATCACCTTTTCTACCTGATGGAGCTGAGCACGGCGCTGCTGCTCCTGTTGCTGTCTCTCTGCGAGGCGCCGGCCGTTCCTATGCTCCGTCTCGGCATCTTTGTAAGTACTGCGGGGCAAAACGAAGAAGCCTGCCTGTTTTGCAGGGGTGGGAAGGAGGAAAAAAGAAGGCTAAACAACAGAGAGAGGGAAGGCAGTGGTAGTAGGAAAAAAGCCACCTGGCTTGTTTGTAAATCGGTTGACAGCAGCTGTGCCAGCCAGTAAACCAGTGTTTTGTCATCTGCTGTGCGTAGAGCACAGTGAAAGTGACTTTTCATATCGCCAAGTTTGTGCAGCTCGTAAAGTTTGTAACTGTTTGAGAATGTATGGGTTTTAATTTTTATTGAGGTAACTCAAGAATGTGTGTGCTCTGACGGGTTGCTCGCTCATGGTCGGGGTTGGTGCTGTTACCCCAGCACCACCCCTGGTTCCTAGAACACAAACAGATCTCAGCTTGGGGCAGGATGCTAAACCTCCTCCTGTCGCCTCCTCCCAGTGTTGTGAGGACTCTTTAACGTGTGTGAGTGGCTTGAACTTTTATGTCCAACCCTCAGAAAATGAGGTTGTGAGAAAGGAAACCCAAACGGGCGCGTGCTTTTGTCAGTCCACAGCCACTGAAGTACCAGCCAGGAGGTACCACTGTCGGGCACAGCGCCAGAAGCTGCTGTTCCTGGTTGGAGAACCTACGTCTGTTTTTGGAGCTGTTGATGGCACCCTCGGACTGTGCCAGGGGTGTAGAACGGCTGCGACAACCTTGGGGTCAGAGCGTTCCCCAAAATGAGCCAGGGTTGTGTAACTCAGTTTGGGTTTTGAGTGGCTTTGGGTTTTCCTGCGTGTCACAGAGCTGCGCTCAGACTGTTGTCAAACCCACGTGCTGCTTGAAGAAGGAAGGGCAGAGGTGTGGGCTCTGTATGCTGCTGGTTGTCACCAGTAACGCTGGTTTAAGCTCTGCGGCATCGTTACAGGTCCACGCAACCCTGGAGCTCTTCGCGTTAATTGTGGTAGTCTTTGAACTCTCCATGAAGATGAGGTGGCTGGGCTTCCAGACCTTTATCAGGCACAAAAGGACGATGGTGAAGGTACGTTTTCAGTCTAATTGTCAGTGTTGCTCCGTCAGCATCTTTGGGAACCGAAGAACTGGATGAATATTGGCCTGTAGCAGGGATGACGTAGCCTTGTGTCCCAGCTGCTGAGTGACTCATGTGAGGTCTCTAACCTCTCGACCACACCTCCCACCCTTAAAGCATCCAAAATAAACGGGTGATCCGTGAGGGCTTTGCCTTTCCCAAAAGGAGACTGCAGCTGTGCCTCTCACTAAACCTTTTTTTTGCAGACTTGCGTCCTGTTTGTACAGTTTGTGGAGGCCATCGTGGTGTTGGTGCGCCAAACCTCGCACGTCCGCATCACGAGGGCCCTGCGCTGTATCTTCTTGGTGGACTGCCGTTACTGTGGTGCCGTCAGAAGGTGAGGGGTCAGCTGGCTGTGTTCGCTGCCCCCGTGCCTGGTGCGGAGGCGAAGGAAAAGCCCTTGATCCTGCAGGCATCTCGGGGAAAATGAAGTGTCTTTGGTGTGCATTTGAGGTCTCGGAGATCTTTTATGGTTGTGACTGAAGTGGGCCCGGTGTCTGGTCTCTGTAGGGCAGTCTCACGGGTAGTAGCTCTTGGCTGTGCTCACAGTACAGTACGTGTGCTGTTCTCAGCTGCCTCCGAGAGCACAACACTGTGCTGTATTGTCTGTGGCTCCTGGGTTTGCCTGGAACCTGCACGATGGATCACAGAGCTAGTCTTGAGTCTGGAGAAGGACAGCCGACAGGCTGACATTAGTGTTGTTTGCAGTACCCGAGAGCTGACTGCAACGATAGGTAGCTTGGAAACAATCTTCATGTACTTGGCTTTCTACTTGTAATCCTCCCTGGGGGTAGGAAGAAAGCGCTCAAGTGTGGTGTGTTGGGGTTTTTTTCCCCCTTGCAAGTTTTAATTTGTCAACGTTTTCTCATTTTTTCAGAAATCTGCGACAGATCTTCCAGTCTCTCCCACCGTTTATTGACATTCTTCTCCTCCTGCTTTTCTTCATGGTGATTTTTGCCATCCTGGGTGAGTTGTATTTGTGGAAGGTGAAGTGATGCTCTTGACTGGTTATTGTCCCAAAGCAACACAAGCAACCTGGATGAATATAAAGCTGATTGGATTCAGAGTCCTGCCAGGATCTTCCATTTATCCCATTTAATCCACAACCGTCTGGAAGGCAGATTTAAAGATCTAAAAAACGTGGGAGCTGGGTATTTGATTTTGAGACAAAGGTCCCTCTGACCTCTGGCGCAGGACAGTTCTGGGGGGTGTGTGGTGGTGGTTTCCTACTCTACACTCCCACAAACGCATGTGTCTGTAGTGTACCTGCTATGCTCAGACTGTCCTCAGAAAGTCCATTTTCTGAAAAGACCAGTGAAAGGCCAGTGACTTGTATTGGCAAATCTGGATGGAGAAGGCCTTCCGGATACTCTCCCCCTCACGGTGTCAGAGAGGGCTTACTCTTAGCCTGACCTTTTGGAGAACAGAGACTCACCACTCTGCTGCTTGACACTAAACAGACTTTATTTGTTTTCTTCCTTCCCCTCCTCTGCCTTTTCTGCTGCTTCTCTAGGTTTTTACTTGTTTTCTCCTAACCACTCGGATCCGGTGAGTGTCGCTGCTTCTTTGAGCTGAACGAGTCCCTTTTGTCCAGCTGAAGCACCAACCCTTACCATGTAGATGCAGCTGATTCCTCTGTGGTGGCCTGGGGAGGTTGGGGGCAGATGCCAGCTGGGCAGAGGCTGCTTGGCCTCTGGTTTATACCCTGCTGGGAAGGAAGACAGTGCAGAGAACTTCCTCAAAGACAGGATGTCCCACGGGGAACATTCCTGTAGCTGTTCCTTGTTCTTGGTGTCTTAATTCCGTCCACCAGCCCCTGTCCCCAGGGCTGGAAGGTCTCTGGGTGAAAGCCACTGGGTCCTGCTGCTGCCCAGACTGTAGCTTGCTGGGAGTAACTACTACAAAAATGTCTAGGTCAGCTTTTAATTGTTTTAACTCTTGACATGCCACCTCTCAGGGACCTTTACAAAGGACTGATGCTGAAGTACCCTTTCCCTAGGAGGCACTGGGGAATTGTAGAAGTGCCTGTATTCAAGTGGGTGGGTTGGTTGTTGAATGAAATGTCACTATGAAATTCTGCTTGCATTTTGTCATGGGAGTTCTTTCTTGCAGTACTTCAATACCTTAGAGAACAGCCTCGTGAATCTCTTTGTGCTTTTGACCACTTCAAAGTAAGTTCATGCTTTTCTAGCTCAGTTTTGCCCTTTGTCCCCAAAGAAGTCTGACAGAGCCAAGAGTTTATGTGCAGAAATGCTCAGTCTCCAAATGTGACACCTTTCCTCTGCCTGAGAGTGAGATTTCCTGGGTCAGCCTGCACAGGAAGAACTGCTATTTCATTTTAGTTTAGGACACTGTGACCTCAGAGGCAGAGTTATCTCTAAGTGACTCAGGCCACTCATCACTGTGAGGGCAATAAGGGGGGAAATGGCTTTATTAGGCCTTGGTCCAAGAAGGGAGAGTTTCTATTTGTGCTCCTTTGTCAGCTGACAATTTGCTGTTGTGAAGTAACATCCTATTACTCTGCTTTGGTTCACCTGTCTGCTAGGAAAAGGGGATAACAACAGCGGGTAAATATTGATCTGCTGTCAGGGAGAGCTCTGAGGATTAGGAAATTGGCAAAGGATGGAACAGGTCACAGGCTGTAACTCTCCTACACCAAGGCCGTACTGCTGTTGTTGCTACGCATCAAAGCACAGCCCTTAGCCATGTTACCCCTTTGCCCATTTGGTTTTAGGGATGTACAAGGAACGTGCTTTTCTTCCATCGTGCCTCCTGTTCTTGCTGCTCGCTGCTAGGCACAAACTTCGGTGTCACGAGCAGAGGCATGTGGACCTTTGGGTGCGAGTTTACACACCAACCTGTGTCCTGTGCCTCTTGCCCTTGCAAGTGGGATAAGCTATTTGGTGCTTAACCTTGTGTCTTTTCTGGATGCAGTTTCCCTGATGTGATGATGCCATCTTATGCCCGGAACCCCTGGTCCTGTGTCTTCTTCATAGTGTATCTCTCCATCGAGCTGTACTTCATCATGAACTTGGTGAGTCTCCCGTCGGAGTACTTGCCTTCCCTCTGCCTGACTTCGGAGCTCATTGCCCAGCAGTCTTCCCCATTCCTCAGGGTGCTCTGTAACAATCCAAGACCCCTTGGCAGAATACTTCTGGAAGTGCCAGCTATGCTCCCTTAATGTTTAACCACAAGGAGTTGAGCTAAATCACACAAAATGGAATGATACAAGTATCTTTCAACTTCTGTCACATTAATATTGTGCTTGGAGTGACATACTGAGTTGTGTGAAATTTATTGTCCTTTTCTGTCCTAATTATTTATCATAAAATGGCATTTTATTATCTGAGCTTGCCTGAAATACTTTGTAAATCAGTTTGAAGGGGCTGGAATTACTAAATATGGCAGGACTTGAAGAGTGCTGATAACTGCAGTGTGAGAGCCTGGCTGCTGGGCTGGCTCTGCTTCTTGCAGCACCTAAGGCAGAGCCAAGACCAGCTCAGGTGAGGATGTGAGTGGTGGAAAAGGGTTGCCAGAGGAATTCTGCAACCGGAGGTGAGTGATTTGATGCTTGTTGTGGGCTTGGATTTTGCTGCTGCTGTCCTAGATGGAGGCTTAGTGTTGAGCCAAAGCTCCAGTGGAAGGGAGAGTCCAGAAAGTCCAGAAAGCAGCCCTCCAAAACCTGCTTTCCAGGAGGAGATTGAGGCAGTTTAACAAACCTTTTGACACTGCTTTTGCTGGCATGAAACATCTGGACCTCTTCCAAACAGTGGGTGGGGGTGTGTGTGGTGTGCTTGGTGATCCTCTTGTGGGATTCCTTACGGCCAACGGCCCCTCGGTGACTCCGTTCTGCTCCGTCAGTGTAATGCTCAGCCAGTCCCTCCTGCCGGGGCCTCTCCTTGCCTTGGGACTTTCCCGCTGCCCGAGAAGCACTGCTCAGGTAGCTGCAGAGTGTGAGGGTCTCTCCTGTCCTCTCTCTGCAGCTTCTGGCTGTTGTGTTTGACACTTTCAATGACATCGAGAAGAGGAAGTTCAAGTCCTTGCTGCTGCACAAGCGCACGGCCATACAGCATGCCTACCGCTTGCTCGTCACCAAACAGGTACGGGGTCCTGCCGGGACCAGCCTGGGGTGCGGCGGGAGGGACGGTCAGTCTAGGGACACCGACGGTCTGGAGTGTTTAAAGAGCATGTTCCAGAAGAGAAGATTTACATCTGTTGACTGTAACCCTCCTCGCCCAGGGCTACTGGTCTTTTCATTTGTGTAACTCGTTTGTATGGGTTTCTGGAGAAAACCCAAAGGGGTCGGAGTGTCAGCCGCACGTGAGATGACGGAATGACGTGTTGTGGAGTGCGCTGATTCAGTGTGGGTCACTTGAGGACTTGCTCCTCAAGCACCAGTACTTACAGGAGGGGTGGGTTACACGTAGGCAGGTACAGCACAGTTGCTAGGTACTGCGTGAGTAAACGGTGCAGAAACAGTAACTCACCTACAAACATCTCTTTATGGGCACAGAGAATTCTGGGGGAGAGGGTTGATTTCTTGCTTAATTTGCGGAGCAGCAAGAGAAATAAGGCCCAAAAAGGGAAAAAGACCCAAAGGCCTAAAAAAGTTAGTTGTTAGAACTAACCCACTTCTAGTAGATTATCAGCTAGGTGCCCAAAACATGAAGTAGTCTTAAAAAAAGCACCATAACGGGATCAGTTAGGCTGTCTACTGATTGCCCAGGAAGAGTGGTTGAACTGTGTTTCTTGGGGTGTCGTCTTGGATGATTTTTCCCAGCATAAGGCAATAGGGAACAGCTCTGCATTTGCTGGAGGGACTGGTTGCCAGGAGAGCTTTCTGATCTCCGTGCTCTGGGGTAAGCTGAGCACCATAAAGTAATGGCTTAGGGTACTTTGGGGCTTAGTTATAATGGCATCTTACGGTAATGTAGAAATCCTGCTTAAAACAAATCCAGAGAGAGTTAAATGCGCTAGCCTCTGTGTGCTTCTGCCTGATGTCGCTGCTTATGACAACATTCCCTTGTTTCTAGAGGCCGTCTGGAATTTCCTTCAAGCACTTCGAAGGGCTGTTGCGGTTTTACAAGCCTCGGATGGGTGCCAGAGAGCGATATCTCACTTTCAAAGCACTGAATCAAAGCAATACTCCTTTAGTCAGGTAGGACGGTCTTGCTGCTGCACCCAGGGCAGGGAGATTGCTCTGTTCTCCGAAGCTAGCGGAGAGGATGGTTGGGTTTACGGATGGAAACTTGTCTGGGATGTGGGAATGGAGTTCTGCGGTTGAAAGGATTAGTCAGGGAAACAGGCAGCTTGGAGCAGTGGGTACCCTGAGGGTTGAGCGTTTTCTGCGGAGGCGATGGAGTTCCTGCGTGCCCTCTTGTGGATACAGCATTCTGCTGGCAGTCGCCGGGCAGCCCATTTCCCACCTCCCCTGCCAGAACAGAGGAGCGAGAAATTGAGGAACAGCATTCGAGCCTGCGGAGGAGCATTTCTTCACACCGTGCAGCCTCGCAGCTTAACAAGTTTTTTTGTTTTTTCCCAGCAGCTGGCTGTGTCCCCCAGGGTTTTGTTAATTAAAATCTGGTTCTGCTGGTGCTTTCAGGACTGTCATCCTCTGTGTTATGAGGCAGAGAATTACCATTCTGGTGGGTGGGTGCAACTAACTCCAGCCAGCATGGAAGTAAAGGGAATTAGAGCAGGAGACCTTCTTTTCCTTTGTTCTGGCCACAGACAGGCTCGGAGTGAGTCTCCCAGAAAACTGGTGCCAACGCTTCTCCTTTAAGTTCCACGGAGAAATGGCATAGGGACAAAGACAGAGATCTTAAATTTTGGCACCTAGTGACAGCAGGAAGAGTCTGAAGTTCAGCACCCTCAGTTTCAGACACCCAAAGCTGATACAGGCCTGACCTTCAGCACCTAGAGAGGCACTCGTGTTTTAGGAGTTTCTTTGCTTTCATATCCTTTTCCAAATTCCATTGTTGCCTTGAAAAGCAAATGTGCAAAGGTGTTAGGAAAGGACTGCATGAGTAATTAAGGCAGGGCAAAACTTCTTGGTGAAGGGTGGTACGATCTCTGTCCCTTGGAGCTTGCTTTCTAAGCCTCGGGTCTTTCCCCTCCGTGGTAAATTTCCAGGGTTGAGTAGAGTGTGGGTTTCCTCTGCGGGCTGAAGTGTTTCTGGAAGAAGGTAGGCTTTGCTCCCCGTTCTGGCTGTTGTCAGTCAGTCACCCGTGGCCAGACGGGGAAGAGGCCGGTGTTGAGTTGTATCAGCTGTGGTTGCAGTTCTAATAAGGAGCTAATCAGTTCCAGGGACTCTCTACTGATGGTGCCTGACAAGGACAATTAAGGATCTAATCAACTCCAAGGCTCTGATCAGATGCTTCTTTCTGTTTTGCAGTCTAAAGGATTTTTACAATTTCTATGAAGTTGTTGGCTTAAAGTGGAAGGTAAGTATTTACTGGGTGGAGGAGAAGGGAAGGGGGTGTGGGAGGGTGAGCGAAGGAGGCCACTGATTACAGAGAAGGTGGGTAAGAAACAAAGGCAATCTGAAGGCAGCAGATGATGGGGATGAGGTGGTTCTCCATCACTGCACATTTTTTGTATGGAGGTAGCACTGACTTCTGATCCTGGCTGTTCTGCTTCCAGGCAAAAAGAAACCGTGAGCACTGGTTTGATGACCTTCCACGGACTGCATTCCTTATTTTTAAAGGTAACGGGCTGTGTTTTCATGACAGCATGTGTTCGACTAACAGGAAAAGCATGTCTTTACAAAGACAGGGCCCTCTGAAGGCACCTTATGTCCCTGGTAAACAGCTGAGGGAAGGCCTGCTAACCAGCTCTCAGACCCTCCAAGAGCAGAGCCTTCAAGAGGATTTCTGTTGTGTAAATATTCCCTGTGCTCTGACCCAAACCCTGGCTTCCTTAAAATAAGAGACCTTGGCAGAAGCTCTCTAGCCAACCAGGGCCTGAGATCATGCAGGGCTGTATTCCTTTCTCAGCACAGAGCTTATATGGGGATCTAAGACTGCTGAAGCTAGCAGGGTTTATAGTTTTGTTTCTCCATATCCCAGCCAGCAACTCACAACAGTGGCTGTGGAGTGGGATTTGAGTTCCCACAGAAGCTGTCGGGATTCCTAGTCCCAAGATGCAGTTGCGGCGCTCGTACAGGTCACGTGCAGCTGCTAGGGAAGGGGAAAGAGGTCTGAAACACCCGTGTAGTCTGTCTTGCAAATCTCCTGTGTCCCAAGCTTCCTGATCGAATACCCGTTTGGAAATAAAAACTTATCTGCACTTGCATGCTGATGGGAAACTCTTAACACCATCTTGATCCAAACATAGAGCTGCCACAGGAGTCCTGCGTATCTCTGCTGATGCCCTCAGCCCTCCCTGGCAGCATCTGTGTTGTTCCAGACACGGGCAGTGCTTCATCAGCTGTGTTTTACCTCTGGCCACACCACAAAATTAGTACACAGGGAGGGAAAAAAGCCAACAGGCATCTCGGGGGTTAAGGATAGTGAGTTCATTGCTGCTGAAATTCTTGAAGAAATTTGAACTTGTTCCCACAAAGTTAATAACCTGCTGATCTGTTCAGCTTCTGTGCTGGGGGTTGGTATGAAAATTGTCTCTAAGGAGAAGATGGAGGAAGCTGTGTGAGAGTTTCAGAGAATCGCATAACCATTTGTTTTGTCATACTTCCCTTCACGCAGGCATCAACATCCTTGTGAAGTCCCACGTGTTCCAGTACACCATGTGTAAGTAGAAGGTTCCCTTGATCACCTGGGTCTGGAGTGCTCCGTCTGCGCCAACCCCTCCGTGGGCTCAGCCTGACGGGGCCTGGTCTGAGCTGTGGCTCATGTTCACATTTGGGGGTTCTGGCAGGGCGGGAGGGAACTGCAGACTCGTACCGACCGCTACTGCAGGCTGGGCTCTCGCCTCTCGCTGTGTCGAGGCTTCTGGAGAGGCGCATTCCTCGTGATGCCCTTGTGGGTCTGTTCTGTAGGGGTCAGCTTGCGTTTCGGGAGGCTGGCGGGTAGCTGTTGGGGTTTTATCCTGCAGCAGAAGGATGCTGGGTGAGGAACGGCCTTGCCGGTCAGTCTTACCTTCTATTTGCACTTGAGAAGTTGCAAGCATCCTCGTTGCTGGAGGGATTGCTTGGCAACTGTATCGCCCGCGAGAATGATCCTGTGCTCCTCTTTAGAGCACTGACTCGTGGTGCTGCTGGCCATGTTCTAAACAATCTGTTCCTACCCAGTCATTTCGGGTATTTTTTAAATGTTGCAGGAGATGTTTTTTTGTAAATTGGGATTCTAAACTAAAGAGAGTGGGGTGAGGAGATCTGAGTGAAACAGAAGTCCTGCACCTTCAGTTCTGAGGACTTGAATGCTGGGGAGCAGCGACAGACCCAGGCCAACATGGCCTTGTCCTGCCCTGTTGGGGACCTAGTGCTTCTCATGGCCTTGCTCCTGAACCAGAAGGAAGCTGAAATACGCAGGTAATAACGTGGTGGAGTGTAGGAGAATTGTGAGTAAAAATGACTGAGCATGACTCAGCCCATCCTTGTGTGTTAGTTTTGCTTCCTGGTGCGGATGAAGGTCCTGTGTCCATCAAAGGCCTGGGCACGGTCAGGGTAGAAGTTTTACCACTCTGCCAAGTTACAAGTTCCATTGGTTGGATTGGAAACACTGACCCTGACGCTTGTCCTCTGTTGCACTCTCTTTGTTAGCTAGGAAATGGATGTCCTCTGGTCCAGGCGTGTGTTTGCTATGGGTTTTTGCTTTGTTTTCCAGATACTGTGGTGGCTGTGAATGGAATTTGGATTCTCGTTGAAACCTTCATGCTGCAAGGTAGGAAACATTGCAGCTTGTTTCTTGACCATGCTGCTGTGGGATTGAATGCACGGCGAGCTAAAAAAAGTTGTTCTTGTGTCTTGCAGGAGGGAATTTCTTCTCCAGAAACGTCCCATGGAGCTACATAGTCTTCCTCACAAGTAAGCTGCTGCCTCCCAACAGAGCCGGGTTATTTCATAACGAGCTGGGAGGAGAATAGACAGCTCTGTTCCCTGAAAATGATTCAGTCTGAAGTTAAAGCTTAGCCACAGGTGGTACAGACTGAGTCTGGAACAAGGCTGTGCCTGGCAGGGGTCATCAGCACCCACACAGACCCATGGGAGCACTGCTGCACTGTTCCGCAGCTCCCCATCGCCGCTGCACTCTGGGGAGCCTCGTGTCTGCAAGCGCTGCTCTGTCGCTCTTAACGCCAGCTCCAGCCCTGACAGCAGAACAGCCGTGCATTGTCCAGCACAGCGGGCGAAGCGATAAGCCGCTCCAGACTTGTCATGGCTCTGTGTCGAGCCGCTCCCGGTGCTCTGCTCCTGACTGTTCCAGGAGGCATTACCAGCTCGGCTCTGATCGTGGCTGGGAGCTGGATCTCTGCCGTGCAAAGCAAGGCAGTCCTGTCCGCGTACAGAGTGCAGGGGTGCGCTGAGAAGTCTGAAAGGACTTCACGGACTAGTTGATGAGCTGAGTTTTCTAGTCAAACAGCATTTCCCCCATAAATATGTGCCTTAGTCTTCCTTTTCAGCCCGAGTATAAGGAATTGCAGCTTCAGGTGCTGGTTCATCGCACTGCCATGGAACTCTTGTGGTGTCAATCCTCTTCCCTTCTGCCAGCATCTCTTGCTGAAGAGGAGAGGAAAAGTATAGCTCCACTGAATCAAAATAGTGTGTGAAGCTGCAGCAGGAGGTTCTGTGGAGTATCTAGAGGAGGTTGCTAACCTCTTATTCGGCTGCTGGGTAGCTGTAGTGCTTCCCTGGCCATTAGTCTTCAAAACAGTTTGAAGGCAGAGTGCCTCTGCCTTCATTCATTTCACAAAGATGTTGCCATCCAGCTCTTCACTTCTCTCCCACCTTGGAACCTGGAAAGAAAGACTTTGGGGATGACTGAAACAGGGCATCGTCATGTTATTGTGGGGTTCTTTCACCTACAGACTCATGAGGTGCTGCCAGGACAGGGGTGAAGTATTCTGATGGCTCCTCCTTGAACGGAGGTCAGGGCTAGGCTATGGGATGCAGATGTGTTCCACTGAGGTAGAAGGAAATAGGCAGGACTGCATTCCCTAGACCACTTTCTGGTCTTTTCTACAGGAATTTGTGTCTCAACATTTATGGTGTGTTAGCCAGCTCACTGCTTTGTAGAGTGCTCTGGAGAGAAATCCCCATGAATACAGGAAAATGGGTTGATTTGGAGGGAAAATGTCTGGCATCTCACCGAGAATAAGGAGGATGAGTGGGAGTCTGTTAAACCTGTGTTCAGCAGTGCTGTGCTTAAAGCACCACACATCTTTGGGGAGAGGCCTTTGCATGAGCCCTCCGTGTGCTGCTGCTTATTTCCGTCATCTTGTTTTCCAGTCTACGGCGTGGAGCTGCTCCTGAAGACCACCGGCCTGGGGCCTGTCGAGTACCTGTCCTCGGGCTGGAATCTGTGAGTACACACTAGAGAGAGGGGTGGCAAAAATGGTGGGATCAGAAAGACTGAGTTGTGAGATGAGTTTTTGGGCCTGCAGACGAGGCCATCGGCAGGCTATTACAGGCCTCCAGGCCTTGGCCTTGTGCGTCTTGTTAGGCTGGAGCAGCACAAGAACCTCCTCTCTGCTGAAACACTAGTGATAAATCATTGCTCTTACCTCAGGTCTGTTTTTCTTTCCAGCTTTGACTTCTCAGTCACTCTTTTTGCATTCCTGGGGCTCATGGCACTGGCGTTTAACATGGAGCCGTTCTACTTCATCGTGGTCTTGCGGCCCCTCCAGTTGCTGAGGTGAGACGGGAAGGCTGGGGGCAGGGCACAGAGAGCAGGTGGGCAGGAAAACAGCCGGCCTTGTTTTCCATCAATCCAGCTGGGGACTGAGCTCCTTACCAGGAGAGGGCAAGGATTGCTCTGTGGGTACGTGACCACGGCAAACGGGAATTGCGTGGGGTAAGGAGATTAGCCAGATTTATCAAAATGAACGATAACAAAAACTTGGGATGGGAGACGAAGCCCTGTGCTTTGGAGCTTAAGCTGATCTCTAATAGAGATCAAGGGATTTACCGGGGGCAGATTATCCTGTGCCTGCCTTCGTGGGGTTCTTACACCTCCTCTAAATTGTCTGATGCTGTTCAGAGAAAAGCTCTTCTGTCAGGGTGAGCCAGTTTAATAATTTCCATTGAATTACCAGGAATTACAGTTTTCAAAGGATGCTGCTTTCTAGGGTGAAATACAACCCTGCTCTAACTGCATCTCACACTTTAAGCAAGTCTGTGGCCTGTAACCCCTCTGCAGCTCTAAGATGGCCCTGATTAACCCTCTCCTCTCGAGGCTGTTTTGGAGGTACATCCACCTTCGCAGGACGCTTTGAGAGCCATGGGTGGAAAGCGTTGGAGAGGCAAAATGTTGTTTTGTTAAAAACAACCTAATGTAATTTAGCTCTTGGGTGAGGATTTAAAGAACACTTTATGGCACTCAAGGGGGAAAAAAAAAATAATGTTTTCTCCGTTGCTGCCCTGCCAAAGCCTGTGTTTGGCAGCTGTGTTTCTCTTAGAGGCTGATGGGGTTGCCAAATCTTAAATTAGCAGGCACAGTGTAGTTTTCTGTCCTCAGTTTTTATTGGGTCATGCAGAAAACACAGAAAAGCTTGTGTCTGAGGAAAGGAGTAATGAATCCTGGCCCTGTACACAGGACTAGCTTAGGTTCTTGTGATTGATCTTTTTTTTTAATAGCTATATATGCTATTTACGTGTAAGAAGATGTAGGCTTCTCCTTGAGATTCCTCAATCCGGTAAACACTCAGTTGAATGCGTCATAAGCATTCACATGGAATGCTGGGACATTGTTAGGTGGATGGGGACCACTTGAGCAAGAGCAGATCCTGTGAGTTTGGTGTCAGAAAACCTTCACTGACCTGGGAGGTACTGGGATGCCTGTTGAGCTATTCCCAACCACCCCAGGAGAGTTGCCATGCGTAGGTAATAAGTGGCTTCTCCTTTCAGGCTCTTTAAATTGAAGAAACGCTACAGAAACGTCCTGGACACGATGTTTGAGTTGTTCCCCCGGATGGCCAGGTACTCACTCCTCCTCTTCGGGTGATGGTGGGGAGAGGGGAGTGAAAGTTCAGTGTCTGGGGCTGGGGTCAGCGCAGGGGCCTGTCAAACCTGCTTAAAGGTCTTTACGCTCTGATTTGTCAGTCGGGTGTTGCTGATTCTTCAGTGTGCCGCCGGGAAGTGTTCATCTTCCAGTTTCTTGGAGCAGCATGTGATAAGCAGCATTCCAGCACCCTGGCCCTCCTCCTGCTTTTATGTCTTAGCAGGGTAACTAAGAGTCGATGCCTGATAAATTTTTCTCCCCCATCCCAGCTTTTGGTGAGAGGGGAGGCCCGTTTGGGAGGAATGTTGGCATGAACATGCTCAGGCCCTGTGAGATGGGGGAGCTTGGGCTTTGAGTGGGGCATCCTCAGGCCTTATTCCCTTGAAGGAGGTGTGTGGAGAGAGTGTTAAGTAGAGAACCCTGTTCTTGGCACAGTCCCTGCATCCAAGGACGTGGGGAGGGCAGTGTGTGTCGTTCTTTATTATAAAGAATCTGTTTGTTTACCAGAAAAAAGGACTGGGATGGAATCCAGGCTGCTCTTTAGTTTCTCTTCGGCAAGTGGCAAGCTCCTTGCCCAAGGGCTTGATGAACGAGCGCAGGCAAAGCGCTGCAGAGCCACCACGACAGGGAGGGTGGTCTGGGGTTGCCAGTGCTGCTTCCCACCCGTTGGAAATTCCTTCCACAGAAACCAGCCTGTGACTCTCTGTTTCCCTGCCTTAGCAATTCTTCAGTAGCACAGTACTCTTCTCTGTTTTTGCCTCCAGCCTGGGTTTAACCCTGCTGATCTTCTACTACTGCTTTGCCATTGTTGGTATGGAGTTCTTTGCCGGTGTGGTCTACCCGAACTGCTGCAAGTGAGTACCCCAAATCCACCCCCTCCGCAGCCGGTTTGGTGCGGAGGCAGCAGCGGTGCCTCTGGCAGCTCTGTCTCCTGTGGAGAACGGGCCAGAGGATGGGTCTGAATGGGGATCCCAACCCTGCTGGGATTCTCCGTGCTGGGAGAATCTAGGGAAGACGCTTCAGTTCTCTAGGTCCGATTGCGTGAAATGGCTTTGGCGTTGCGTTTGGAAAGGGAGGACGTCTGTGGTGGGGCTGGTTGGTTTTCATGAGCCCTGACTTGTCTCGGGGAGCTGCACTGGGAGGAGTTCTGCATGGTGCCATGGCTGGAAACTCTTGTAACATCTGCTGTAGAGCCAAGTTGAGGTTTTTACCATGGTGATGCCAGAGTTGCTCTGCCAGCTGTGTTACGTATTTAGGCCTCGCTTTGAACAAGATAAATCCACCTGGTCTTGGAAGCTCAGCTGTCCTGTCCCTTTTTCACCTTAAATGATGGCAGACCACTTGGAAATGCCAGGCCTAAGGGTGCGAGCCAAGGAGTCCAACTTAAACGCTCAGTTTCTCTGGTATAATATTTGCTGAATTATTAAAGAGGCTCCGTGTGCTCCCTGGGCTTGTGCTGAGCTGTGAGAGAGAGAGGCTTGCTCAGGAGAAAAAGGCAAGCGTTGGCCAAGAGGTAGAAACAGCCACCCTGCTCACCACCTTCTAAGTGTTTTGGTATTTATAGCCCTTGAGATTTTTCTTGCTTTTCCAGTTCTCATTCTTTGTCCTGGTTTCCCCAACCAGCACAAGCACAGTGGCAGATGCCTACCGCTGGGTGAACCATACAGTTGGCAACAAGACGGTTGTGGAAGAAGGTTATTACTATCTCAACAACTTCGACAACATTCTGAACAGCTTTGGTAAGGGCAGTTTTGTCCGTAGCAAAGACTATTCCTTAGTGCAGCCGTGTCCCTGCAGAGCTGGATGGCAGGACTGTAGTGCTCACGTAAGCCTGGGGCTCTCCCAGAGAGTCCTGCTAACGCAGCTCAAACCCTCAGCGTCCTGCTCTTTCTGTCTGGAGCATTCCAGCTGACTGATTGTGCCGTGACTGTTCCGTAAGGTAAGCAAACAGCACTTAAAAGCCAGCATGAAGCCAGCAGATCTGTTCTGAATGGTGATCAGACCACACTTCCAGAGAGGAGGAAAGGAGGGCTTTAAGTCACTACGCTTCTGAAGAACTAGTAGAGGTGCTGATACGTTTCTTTAAACCCACTGATGAAGAATAATTCGAATATGGTGATTACGTGATTTTTCTTAATGTGTGAGCAGAGATGCTGATCTCCCGGAGATTTCAGAGGTTTCCATCCACTCCTGTGGAAAGGGTCAGGTCTGTTTCTGATACTTTTAAGACATACGGATTCAGCAATGCTCCTGGTTCTGTGGGTCTGCCCCCCTTTGTCTGAAGTAATTGCAGCGATGAGGGTCTGCGTTTGGATTTGCTGGCTGTGTTGAAACTCTGGTGTCTTGCGTCAGTCTTCCCTGTCAAATAGTTGGTCTAAGAGTCAGTTCAAAGCAGGTCAATGAAATAATTGTCTCTGGTTTTCTCCCACTCGTATATAGTCACGCTGTTTGAGCTGACAGTCGTCAATGACTGGTACATCATCATGGTAAGCAAACCTCAGCTACCTGCTGTGTGTACACTCTTAACCGTTGAGCTAGATCATCCATGCCATGACTGCTTTCTTCCCCCGGTGATTGCAGATGAGCAGGATTAGGCCCAACATTGTCACTTCTTGTTGCCAGGCATCGTTTGGCCCTGATCTTTGGGTGATATTTGCCCTCTGGCATGCCGCTGGACATGTTTTTTTGTGAATCTTGACCAGCCTTCAGGCCAGGTTTCACTGCCCAGACAAGTGAAGTCCCCGTGTAGCCCAAGCTTGTCACCCTGTTGCCCAGGCTGTGGTCTCGTAGCAGCAATGGCTCGCACAGCCACACGCTTTCAATGTTCTGTGTGTTTGCGCATAGGAACCTCTCTTTTTCTCTTGAGAGGCAGATTAGCTGCAAGGACCAGCTGGGGCATTGAGCATTGTGCTGGCAGTCCCTGGGGCTAGCTCTGGGGCCACAAGTGAGAGAGAGAGGGGTTGTGCTGCTTTTTCTGTTGGCAAGCAGTTAACAGCAGGCTATCTTTGGTGCACTACTGACCTCTTCCTTCTCCTCCGTAGGAAGGAGTGACATCCCAAACCACTCACTGGAGCCGTCTTTACTTCATGATCTTCTATATCGTGACCATGGTAGGTTTCTGGAGATGCCTCATGCATCAGGTCCTGGGGATAGGGAGGGGAGAGAGTGTTTACTGCGCTCCAGCAGATGCTTTCATCCCTAAGTGAGGACACCTCTGCTCCTCTACATAACATCCGCCAGAAAGAGGTGTGAGCCTACATCACCCGCAGAAAGCTGAATTTTTGGGCATTGATGCAGCTGATGCTGCGCAAACCTGGGCCTGGGGTAAGGACTAGGGCAGCAGAGTGTCCCCGCTGTGGTTGACTGTGAGCAGTTTACTCTCTGGTAGATGTGTGACGTGTATTTCCTCTGCCACGGAGGAGCTGGGGAGCTGAAGCACCGACCAAACACTCAGCTTCCTGTTGAATCGGGCTGGAAGAATCCGCCAGCAGCAGCCTCCTGATGTGTGCTGTTGGTGTCTTCTCCCAGGTGGTGATGACTATCATCGTGGCTTTTATTCTGGATGCTTTCGTCTTCCGCATGAACTACACTCGGAAGAACCAAGATTCAGAAGGTCAGAACTGTGGACTGGTTGACCTGCAATGTCGTGTCTTCTCTCCCTGGTGTCTAATGTCTCTAGGAGAGAATGGGATTGGCCAGCAAAGACCAGATTCTTCATTTTTTGGGTTTTTAGCCAGACTTCCTAAGCTCATCCTTATGCTTTTGTGTGATATTTTTATTTGGCCTTTCTGCTCTGCCCCTCACCTTTCCCCCACCGCTCCCCAAAAAGCGTGTGCGTACACATATGTGGGTTTTTATGCCCGTATGCGTGCGCGTGCACATGCACACATGTAAGCAACGACTACGTGAGCTGTTTCAGCCGAGTTATTTGGAGGTAGGAAGCCCACGTGCCTGTCACCAAAGAAATCTAGGAGACATTACAGCAGTGATGTAGCAAAGCTCAGCAGGAGACCTTACCGGAAGGGATGATGATTTTCCTTTTAACACAGATTTCCCTCCCTCACTGAGCCACTCGCTGGCACCAGAACTGTCTCCAAGTAGCTTGTCAGCACTCAGGCACCAGGATGCTGGATCCAAGAGGCTTGCCAGCAGTCTTTGCCGTGACGTGGAGGACAACTATCCAATTCTTTCCACATGTCCCAGTTGTACTTAGACTGGTGACGGCATGTGGTGCTGGACATGCCTTCCCGTAGCCTTTAGGAACTGGGAGTCACCCGTCTCCCCATCGCCTCCCCTCGTGAGCCATCGGTGTTACTCGCTGTCCTTGCTCTCCTGAGCTGGGTGTCTCAAACTCCACGTAACTTCCTGAGCTGCTCATTTAGCTGCATTAATCTCTTATAGCCCTTCTCCTGCTATTCCTTCAGTGGATCTACACCCAGACTTCCCTGTTCATTGTCCGTGCAGACTAATCCCAACGATTCTTTACACTTGTCTGCAGGGAGGAGATAGAGCTGCTGCGCTCACATTTAATACCAGAGAGTCTTCCCTGCAGAAACCAGAGGAAGGCCCCGGCCATGGGGGTAGCTTTGATGAGCCCCTCACCTTTCTTACGTGCCAGAACATCCCATTTGTGTTGGCGCAGGCCCGAAGGGGCCAGGCGTTAGTTACGGAAACGCTTTTCGTCGTGATCCCTCCTGCACCCGGTTTGAAGGGTGCGGCGAAAGACGTGTTAGCCCTGAACTCCTACGCTGTGTGAGGCAGCGGGAGGTCCAAAGGCAGCGACTCCTGGGTGATCATTTGCTTTGCTGCTTAATTTACAGGCAAGCAAAAAGCTGCAAGATTTTTCTCTTAAGATACTGAGGAACCTGATGTGTTTAAAAAGCTGAGATGCTTTTTCTGACCCTACGCACTAGTGAGCTTCTTCCCTGCCATGCTGGGAGACAGGGACATACACGTTCTAGTCACAGGAGTAGGTACAGACTGTGCCAGACACCTGGCTCGGTCCTGTGTGCTGTTAAGCTTTGCCTGCCAGGGTTGTCGTAGCGGTTGATGAAGCAATATTCATCTTGGTGACTTTTTTCCTCTTTCTTGCCTCTCCAGAAGACAACGGCATTGTGCTGGAGAAAGAGATCTCCAAGGAGGAAGTGGTTGGCATAATCGAGCTGTACAAGCGGAGTTCGGCCGCTGCTGAAACAGCTCAGCTGCAGAAGATGGTTTTGCAGATGGACAAATATGGGGTAAGAGGAAACGCTTACTGCAAGTTCTTGGCTTCGGGGGAGGGAAATGTGACACGGCCACAAATGCCTTTTTGCTCTCTTAAGAGAGAAGTTCCATGTGTCTCTGTTTGACTGGCTTCACTAAGGGCAATTTCTGCCTGACAATTTCGGTGGCCACCTACAACGAGGTTACAGTGTTGGTGGATAAGGGAGGAGAAACTGATGTCCAGAGGAGGCCACGGAGATGCTCTGAGGGCTGGAGCCCATCTGCCATGGGGACAGGCTGGGAGAGTTGGGGTGTTAAGCCTGGAGAAGAGAAGGCTCTGGGGAGATCTCAGGACCCCTTCCAGTGCCTGGGGGGGGCTACAAGAAAGCTGGGGGGGAGTTTTCCCAAGGACAGGGAGTGACAGGACAAGGGGTAATGGGTTTAAATTGACAGTGGGGAGGTTTAGATTGAATATCAGGAAGAAATTCTTCCTAGGGAATGTGGTGAGGCACTGGGACAGGTTGCCCAGAGAAGCAGTGGATGCCCCATCCCTGGAAGTGTCCAAGGCAAGGCTGGATGAGGCTTGGAGCAACCTGGTCTAGTGGAAGGTGTCCCTGCCCATGGCAGGGGGGTTGGAACTGGATGATCTTTAACGTCCCTTCCAACCCAAACCATTCTATGATTCTGCAGCATCAGCACAGAGTTTTGCTGCTCTAGAGAAGCAGCAGCACTCTGACTAGCCTTGGCAAAGGCTTGTTGCTGTTGCCTGCAAGTGCCCTGGCCCAGTACTGACTGAAAAAAGGTGTATTTATTCTTCTCTAAGTAAGCCAGTGTCTTGTAGTTCTCCTGCCATGCTCTCTCTGCCGTCGTACTCTTAGGCTTGGCCGGTCCTGAAACGTGCTGCAGTATGGTGGAATCGATTCCAAACACCAGGCTTCCTTTCTCCATGGCACTGCTTACATTTTCATTCTAAAACAGAATGGACAGTTGGGAAAATGAGCTGACCTGGGTAACTGCTCTTGTCTCAGAACTGTCGTCTCGTGCATGTGGGAAGAGCTTCAGTGGTGGTTTTAATAATAGCCGTTATATTCTCGTATCACCACTGCAAAGTGCAGGTGCTACAGTCTCTTAGGCAACCTTTATTTGCTTTGGTTGGCTTGGTAGTGAAAGGCTGAGCTCTTGTTCACACAGACACAATTCAGAACGGTGGTGGTGACAGTGGTCAGAAGCAGTTTTCAAGACAATAAACCAAGGGAGGATGCTGTCCTCAGCCCTGCGAGGGCGTACAGCACGATGGTGCCAGACCTGAGCCTTCCTTTGCTTCCCCGTCCTGTGCCTGTAACTCCTGTGGTCAGAGGGTGATTCAGCGCTCTGCTGAGTAACAGCTCCAGGGCCGTGGAGTAAATGGTATGGTCTGGACAAGTGGGACCTGGAGTGGTTCTTGGACAAGGTCTTACGTGGAAGCTTGGGTTTGGGCCTTGTTCCAGGCACTGACGTTCATCTGACCGACTCAACCTCTGCTGACAGACGCGTCTGTCCGAGCTACAGCTCCCTGGGTAGTCCTTGGGGATCTGCTGGGTGTGATTTGTCTCAGCCTGCAGTAGACACCTGCTTTTCTTTCAGTGTTGCGCACCCTAAAACGTCTTTTTCCCGTGACAGTAGAAGGAGCCAGGACAGCCTGAGCTCACCACGGACGATGGGTGTGCATGTGAAGGATGCCCGAAGCTCCCGGGACTGATCTGTGAGCTGCTCAGTGACTGATGAATGTCTCTCTCGTTTTTTTCCTCCTCCTTCCCTAACTCTTCAGCAAACGTCGACACTGTTTCTGGGCCGCAGATCAAGGACCAAGAGTGATTTGAGTATGAAGATGTACGAGGAGGAGATACAGGTATGAGGTCTCTGCGGCGAGCAGAGCATCGCCTGGAGTAACAAACCATCCTGTTAAACACCGGAGCTGCCTTCCTCCGAGACCCAGGCAGCCAGGCGCTCCGAGGGGAGGGTGGGCAGTCCATGGAGCGTACCCCACACTCATCCGTGTGGCGTTCAGGGCCTTTGGGATGGCACAGAGCGGGTCGGAGCCGCCTGGGTGGGCCCGGGTGGTCGCCGAGTCGCTGCGGCGCCCGGCTGG